CCACCGCGTGTGCAGTGGCTAGTATGGCTGACAAATGGCCTACTGTTTCCCTTGGGTGCCCTTAGGGTGCTATAGGGTTACTATGGAGATTTGCCTGTCTGTCTATCTGTCCCCAGACACCCCTCTATCTACCTATCTACCTGGGTTTATTACATAAAGAATAGCATGTCACTATTAAATTTGCAATGCGTTGGGATGAGAGTGGTTGCCCCTTGGACTCGGCCGCCAGTGACACAATGAGACAGTCCGTCCTGCAGAAATCCTGTGTTCTGTCAATATAAAAGGCTAGTGCCCTATAGACATCCAGGGTATGCAGTATGGCCTCACTTGATGAAGTATGCAGTTTGGGGCAGAAACAGGGAAGCACAATGGGCTCATTGATATGAAAGTCCGAGCATATTTTAGGAAAGAACGCCGGGTGAGATCTTAAGGTGACCAAATCTTTTGTAAATATGGTATAAGGCAGCGATGACATGAGGGCTGCAAGCTCGCTCACTCTATGTGCTGAAGTCAAAGCTAGTAAAAAGAGAGATTTAATTGTAAGCAGGTGCAGAGAAGCTGTAGCCATCGGTTCGAATGGTGGGTGCGTCAATGTCTCTAGCACCATATCAAGATTCCAGGAAGGTGGTGGAGGCCTTTGTGGTGGGTGGAGATTCGTAAGACCCCTCAGGAACCATTTTGTTATGGGGTGCGAGAACAGGGAAACTCCATCTATCATGTGACGAAAGGCCGTAATCACTGCCCGGTGTACTCATAAGGAGGCTATAGATAAATCCCCTTGTTGCAGGTGTAATATATAGTCGAGTATTTTATGCAACGGTGAAAAATTATGATCAATATCATTTTTGACACACCAGGCCTCAAACCTAGTCCACTTCGCAGAGTATGCGGCCTGTGTGGAGCTCTTTCTGCTAGACATTAGTGCATGCTTAACTGGGTCGGAGCAGGAGTTCTCAAATGTCATGAACCACTCAGCATCCAAGCTGTCAAATGTAAGATTTCGGGTCTTGGGTGCCAAAGGGAGACATTCCATTGCGTTAGCAGGTTTGGGAAAATGGGAAGACGGTATGGGGTTTTGATCAACAGCTGATGAAGTGTCGACTACCATGGTTGGCGAGCCCACACTGGTGCTATGAGGATCACATGAGCCGCATCCATGGTGATTTTCTCTATAATCTTGGGTATGAGTACCGTTTTTCTGGAATGGCATTTCAATACTGTGGCACCTTTGATCTATGTTGCATTGCATCGACCACCAATGAATTAGGTTGAGGGTGGTTAAACAGAAAGTACAAACCCTGTATCTACCTATCTATCTACCTATCCGCACACACGCCTGTATCTACCTATCTATCTATCCCCATACACCCCTCTATTTACCTATCCCCACACACCCCTCTATCTACCTATCCCTACACACGCCTGTATCTATCTATCTATTCCCATACACCCCTCTCTCTCTCTCTCTCTATCCCCATACGTATTTGCGTGGTTTGCAGTTTGGTTGAATCGCTCAACACCGCCACTGTGCACATTGCTCACCCCCTACCTCCCATCTGTGACATAGGTGTCAGGGTCTATGGCAGCTCAGAGCCTCACTGGCACCCCCCCGAAAAACCCCCCCCCCCCCCTCCGAAGTGCAGGCCTGTGGGAATGGCTGTGCTAGAAATGCCACCTTTCCCCGTGCTCCCTCAGGCTGGCTCCTGGTTGGTGGGGAGCGGCTGCCCTCTGGGGGCACCTCTAAAGAGCAAAGAAAAGGCTTCATCTGGCCTGTGCCAGCGCAGCAGCTCTCGGTGTCCTTGCTCTAGAGGCACCTCTAAAGAGCAAAGAAAAGGCTTCATCTGGCCTGTGCCAGCGCAGCAGCTCTCGGTGTCCTTGCTGGGCAGACTGGCTCCAGGCCTGTCCCCGTCTGCACAGCAGTGACACAGCCTGGGCTGCGTGCGGGTCCTCAGCTGGCATGGGCCAGGCCGCAGGCCTTTCTGGGCGGGACAGACATAACCCCTAGGGGTGTCATGTGACTTGTAGATTTGTGGAGAGCAGCTCCAATCAGTCCGACGAGGCATGGGGGGGAATTTCTTTGCCTCTCTGAGGCTTGGACTGGGGGGGCCTCTCTTCCCCCCATCTACCTCCATTTAAAAAATCTGGAACTCAGCTGGCATGGGCCAGGCCGCAGGCCTTTCTGGGCGGGACAGACATAACCCCTAGGGGTGTCATGTGACTTGTAGATTTGTGGAGAGCAGCTCCAATCAGTCCGACGAGGCATGGGGGGGAATTTCTTTGCCTCTCTGAGGCTTGGACTGGGGGGGCCTCTCTTCCCCCCATCTACCTCCATTTAAAAAATCTGGAAAAAATCTCGCAAGAGTCCTTTGAACCATTTGGAGGAGCTGTGAGCCGGGGGGCAGGCAGGGGTAGGACGAGGCCAGGGGCCGTGTGTGTTGGCTGAGACGGGGGCAGGCAGGGGGAGGACGAGGCCAGGGGCTGTGTGTTGGCTGAGACGGGG